ATCCTCAGTAGACTGAGAGATTGTGAAAATAAGTTTATTTAGTCAAATAATTGGCTCATTTTACCTGCATGCACCACTATCTCAATGCATCGTTAATCAGATTAAAATGTAAAATTTGCAGTGTTAATGTAAAATTTGCAGTGTTTCTGAAGTACAATGGAAGCAGCTACAATGAAGAACATGACTTTGGTTTATTGCATTCATGCAAGCTTCAGAAAATGTCAAATCAACATCACAGCAAATATTTTGTAGACAATTTCCTGTTTTTTTATTGTAAAAGTTCTATACTACAAAAAAAGTTTTCTACCTTAAAATTTTAAGTACAATCAACTACAATTACATTAAGCTGGCTTGGAAAAAAATGAGTTGAATCTTGTATAACATAAAAAAAAGGTTGAAAATTTAGTTAAAGCAATGTAAAAACATATGTAGTCAACTTATTGATCATATAATTTTTTACTTTTCTTTTTATATTGATAGGTCTATATATTTGTTTGTTACAGGTTAAAGACAACATGCATCGCTCTTCTTTCATTCTCACATTGATTTGTTTGTCTGATGTTTTGCCAAGTTTCATCACTTTGGGTAAAAATTTCAGCTCACATTGTTATATTTATAGGATATATCCTATGTGTTTATTGTGATGCATTATATGTTGTCTATAAAAACTGTGTTCAGGTGATCAATATAGTCTGGAGTGTCTCAGTAATTATTTATCCATCATCACCTGCTCTCTGAACATCTCGGATGAGTCTCTGGGCAACGAATCGTCCTACTGGCTGCATTTCAGAACAAATGAAGAGTGAGAATACAGCACTGAATCACAAGCACACATCAATCAATCAATCAATCAATCAATCAATCAATCATTCAATCAGCCAATCAATCATTCAATCAATCAACAATCAATCAATCAATCAATCAATCAATCAATCAATCAGCCAATCAATCAATCAATCAATCAATCAATCAATCAATCAATCAGCCAATCAATCAATCAATCAATCAATCAGCCAATCAATCAATCAATCAATCAATCAGCCAATCAATCAATCAGCCAATCAATCAATCAATCAGCCAATCAATCAATCAATCAATCAATCAATCAATCAGCCAATCAATCAGCCAATCAATCAATCAATCAATCAATCAGCCAATCAATCAATCAATCAATCAATCAGCCAATCAATCAATCAACCAACCAAGCAATCAATCAATCAGCCAATCAATCAACCAACCAATCAGCCAATCAATCAACCAACCAATCAATCAATCAATCAATCAATCAAATCACAAATATACAATCAAACACTCGAGTGCGTGCTAGTTTGAGGTAATGATAAAGAATCTGTTTTTGTGTAGAGAACATAACTGCACACTGAAGAGGAGAAAAACAGTCATTACTGTGTGAGTTGGATTTATCACCGAATGTGTATTTCACCGATGTGGACAGCTACGAAATCTCCCTCCGTTCCGGTTACCATGGCAACAACTTCTCCGTCTTACTAGATGGTGACTTCATGCCTCGTGAAAAAAGTAAGAGCAATGTTTGTCACGCGAACCCACAGTAACTGCACAGTTCGTCATTGATGTGTGTGTGTGTGTGTGTGTGTGTGTGTTGTAGTTCGCCCGGTCCCTCCGTCTAACCTGTCTCTACAGTGGAAGAAGGACAAGGCTCTTTTCCAGTGGGAGAGCGGATATGATCCAGACTCAGACTCTCTCATTCCCTTCCTCCAGTACCAGCTCAGCGTGTACAGCGAGCACAAGGTGTGTGTGATAGCTAGCTTTAAAATAAGTGGTGTTGTTCAAAACCCCATATTATTTTAATTCTTTAAATATAGCCATATATATTCCTTTTTCGATTTTGGGTGATCTATTTTAATAGGAAATCACTTCCTAGTCTTATAGTGCACAATTCACGACCAGATCATGTTATTCTAAAGAATTAAAACGTCGGTATTTATATTCTTAAAGGGATAGTTCACCCAAAAATTTAAATTAGCCCATGATTTACTCACCCTCATCCTACATGAATATGACATTCTTCTTTCAGACAATACAATCAGAGTTATATTAAAAAATGTCCTGGCTCTTCCAAGCTTTATAATGGCAGTGAATGGCCGTTTCTGTTTTGAAGTCCATAAAAGTGCATCTATCCATCATAAAAGTGCATCTATCTATCTATATAAAAGTGTATACATCATTCAACACCTCATCCAACTAGCATGGAGGACTAGGAGGGACAAGTATAAAGTTATAAGTTTAATAATTCAAACATAAAAATGGAAATAAATGACTTTTTGACAAATTAATAGATGTTTAAACCTGTAATTTTCATGTTTTAAAATGTAGTGAAATAGAGAATTAATTAAGGCTGCTTTATTCATACATCCGAAACATATAGTGACCTTCAACTGTCAAAACCCAAGAAAAAAAGGGTAAACATTTCTTCAATATATATTTATATATGATTTGCGTCGCATTACAGAAGTGAAACAAGTTGTGAAAATCATTTCATGGTGTTGTTTTACGCGTGAAGTCTCGTGCGCTTTATTGCTTACTAACTCCTGACAGACACCACCCATTGGTTTAAAAAGGATGTGTTTTTCTATTCATTTCTAACAGCTCTTTTTCACAAGTGTCTATTTTGCACCACGAGCGTAGCAAGAAATGCAGAAACATGATTACCCAGTGTAATGGTCAAACTACATCCTTGTTATGTTGAAAATGTCACTGAACTTCTAAAGTTACTGTTTGAGAATGCTTATAAATTCTTTGTTACAAATGACAATGCATGTGTTTCAGCTGTATGAGGTAGTAGCTGTTGAACTGAAGGTGTGTGTGGACAAGTCTAGATTTGAACCTCACACAAGTTACACAGTGCGTGTGAGATCTCGGCCGGATCGAGTGTATTATAAAGGCGTGTGGAGTCCGTGGGCCCCTGCGATACACTGGAGGTCAGGGGACATTCTCAGTGAGTCCGATTGGATAACAAGCAAACAAATGCAAAGGAGAAACAGTAAAGATGACAGCTGCAGTTACCGTGATTAAGATTCATCTCACTTTGTGTGTTTTAGAAAAGACTCCGGAAAGATCTTCCCATATTGCCTGGTATTTTCTTTCTTTGGCTTTGCTGCTGGTCCTTCTGTCCTGTATCCCATATTCAAGGTGAGAAACATCCTGAAATTCTTTGATTTCTTCCATCTTTAGTCATGTAGCCTACATAAATGATGGATGTTTGTGTTGTAGATGGAGAAAGGGTGATTATATACCATCACCAGCCCCCTTTTTCAGAGACTGGGATGTAGATGTTCAGGTAACTCCCACCATATACGTACACCAAAACAGTTTAGATAGTTTTACCAGTAGATGGCGACATGTTACTGTGTTTAGTGAGTCATTCATTTAGAATCATTCACTCAAATGATTCATTCAAAAATGCTGATTCATTTTGGAACTAAAAAATGCAAAATGATGATTCATTCTGGAACAAAAGCCATTTTCGAAAAGCCCAAACCAATATTTATTCTTGTTTTATTACGAGCTCGGTCTCCTTCTCTTTTTGCCAGCAGGCTCTCCACTGTTCAGTGTTTGTTTAAACCGTGATTCCCCGGAGGTTTGAGATTTAGCTACTCAATGTCTACCTTTCTCGCTCGTGACAACAACAAACACCAGACACATCAAAGTGGCCAAAGCAACTTCTCTATTTATGGATATGACAAGACACTCACTGGCGAGTGACGTATGTTATGTTGGCAATTTCCCGCGAAAACCATCCGTCTGGTCTAAAATATAAACTTACCATAGGCTTACCATAGTGAATTAGGGTAGACAAAAACACGTTTTGAAAGAAGGATTAATGATGTATTGACTAAATTTTGACTAAATAAAGTTACATAGTTTACATTTAAGCCCGCCCACCAACTCTACACGATCTGATTGGCCGGACCAGTTTTTGTTTTTTTCAGCTTAAAAGTCTATGGAGAGTTGCTAGACCACACTTTGCTGCAAAATAATTTTTGCTGCCGCTAGGGTGCGTCTAGATTTCTAGGCTAACCAAAGCCTGTCTACGGAAAGCCTTGGCACTTCCTATTAGCCCCATTGTGTATCATCTTGGTTGCAGTTCCATTAGAATTCCACTGGGGGTGATCGCGGGCGAGTGCAGAATGAATGGGAGTCTATGGGGCTAGACGGCTAAATGTATCTCTTTCTCCTGCTTGTCGTTGAATCAACATAGATTTTATTGTTGATTTCGCAAGTTCAATATAGATTATAGACCAAAAGTCGAATAAATGAGTACTTATGTCCTTTCGATTTCTTACAGGTTGGGCCGTTGTTGGCCGGAACACACTAGCATTCTGCTATTATGTGACGTCATCACATTTTTGAACGGATTTTTAGAACAGATAAGTGAACTTAAAAATGCAGTTTTCAGCTGAGTGTATTATCTTAGTGCCCCCTTTTGAATGCAACTTTCAGATTACTTGACAAAAAATTACATCCTGAGAAAAGTGGATTTCTGGGGGTGAAACCCCATAGACTCCCATTCATTCTGCACTCGCCCGCGAGCGCCCCCGCATGGACAGAGACGTGTTACTACAGCCAGTTCAGAACCCGGAAGTAACCAGAGAGTGCCAGTTCTCTCCTATTAGACATTCTCTGATAGCACTCACGCAGAGATGGCTCGCACTCACGGCCGGATCCCCTCCCCCTGTACACATAGACAGTAAAAGAAATGGACACAGCGACCCCGTTGATTTCAACGGAGAGAGTTGAAGCCCAACATGGGCACTCACTTCCTGATAGCCAAGCGTTCTGCGCAGGCTCAAACTGAGCTTGACAACGTAGTTGTCACGTGAGCAACCGTTCTGATCTCCTAGTAGCTGTGCCGTTGCTTTTATGAACTCTCTATCTATGGGCTTCTCCCTTGACTTTATGCCTCCATGTCCACCCGATTGCCTCATAGACAGTAAACGATTGCCTACGAGCTTCTACTTCTGTCTACACGGTAATTTCTCTACTGTGCGACAGAGCGTCCCGCCGTGGTTATGACGCAATCGTTAGCCTATTTTTACAAGAATGGCTTCTACGGGGCCAGAACGTAAGATACAAAGCAATGGAGCCTTTTATACATTGTCGTGTTTCTTTAGAAATAAATAATGGACAAATGGAGTCTTTGGACGCCTCAGATGTAAAGTTATTCGCTGTCAAAGTGACGCCAAAATGAATGGGAGTCAATGGGATGCTAACAGCAGGTGATAGCCAGCTACAATGGCGGCCCCCGGAGGCAGCTTCAACTTCCGGCTGATGGATTACCCCCTTGCCTGTACACCGGTACCTGTTCAGTATGGACGCTGTAACGAGTGGAAATAAGGTGTGGCCCCTTTAAGAGCTGCGCGCGCCCTGGCTCGAACACCACATGTATACGGCGCCGGGTTATTTCTGTTTGATGCTCATTTTATCAGAATTTTATCAGATCTGTTTTTTTGCTGTAAAGCAATTCGTTACCTCGCGAGACCTGATATCACACGATACTTCCTAACACTGAGGCCGGCGGCCCGCCGTCCCAAAGTTGTAAGGATGGTTTTGCGGCTCACAGGCACCAGGGGGGTGCGAGACGACCACCATTCAACACGAAATCAGTAATATAAACATTAATGACTCCAAAGCTGTTCGGTTAAGGTAAAAAAGTTACAAAGTTCACCTTTAAATGAACTTGCATGAATGAACGGTTTAATTTTACATCTTTTGATGATGTGATTGGCGTTTGCCAATGTAACAATATGAGGAATTAATGTCTGTTGCACAAGTTATGCTCAACGGTTTTAAAAAGCATCTCTAACGCTAAATATAAGCCATAATAGTGATGCTTGACTGTAATTAAGTTGTAGGCTACACGTATTGCAGCAAAATAATGTTTTTCCGTGGATAGACTATTCTAGATCTGTGTCTTCTTGGCCAATGTTGTTATTGTTAACTAAAACTATTAAAAATCGTTCTCTTCAATTGAAATGACGCTGAAGTAAAATAAAATATAAATATTAAATGAAAATCTAAATTGAAAAAGTTAAATTGAAATGAGAAATGTTGCCTATGCATCAAACTAAAACAAAAAAAAATACTAAAACAATTTTCAAATGAAAACTGAAAAATATAATAAAAGCTATTTCAAAATATTACACAAAGGAAGCTTTTTCAAATCAGATATGAGAACGATATCAAATATGGTTTTCCGGTGTGTTATCGCTATCAGATAAAAGATATCAAACACATTTCTGACTTTGCAACTCCATTTGGGGATTTGAACTCCACAGAATTAGCTAGATTTATGTTAAGCTCTCTGAACGCAGAGACGTGTCAATTCTCCTTGTGATTGTGGTCAATGCTGGCGCTGGAGTAACTGTTGGAGAAAGACACTAGTAAAAATAAATAATTCATCAATCACTTGCTATCGGCTTCACAGAGAAACACTTGCTATGTTTCTCAAATCATCTAAATTCTACATTCAAGTCTCAGATAAATGTAGTATTCTGTTTGTTTCAGCACAACTAAACCTTTTACATGTAATCAATGATCTTCATTCTTACACTGTTTGGGCTCCTGCATGGTTCTTGGCTGATCTTGATAGATATACTTGATGGTTAATGATGGTTTCTGGTGTTAGAATTAATAAGATCTGAAGATTTGCATTGGTCGTGTTACTTGGTTTGACATTTCATCTTACACATATATAACCCTATGATTATTCAGGTAGGATAAGGAGAGTCAAATCTAGCCTAAAGCATAATGTACTCACAGGTTGAAGTTGAATGACGTAGAAGATTCTCTTGTAGTTGTTCTTTTTTGAGGTTCAGTTTGTAGTTCTATGTGACCCTGGACCACAAAACCAGTCACATGGGTCAATTTTTTGAAATTGAGATTTATACATCATCTGAAAGCTAAATAAATAAGCTTTCCGTTGTTGTATGGTTTGTTAGGATATGATAATAATCTGGGGTGCAAAAAAATCGAAACATTGAGGAAATCGCCTTTTATGTTCGAGATTGTGCTGCATTCACTCACAAAAATAAATGTTTTATATATTGACGGTAGGATATTTACAAAATATCTTCATGGAACATGATCTTAACTTAATATCCTACTGATTTTTGGCATAAAAGAAAAATAGATAATTTTGACCCATACAATGTATTGCCACAAATATACCAGTGCGACTTGTGACTGGTTTTGTGATCCAGGGTCACATATGTCCTTCAACCTTCTCCTACGCTATGCGTTGTTTGTCTTAGACTCTTCACCGTCTTTACCATCATCTTCATCGATCTTAGCTCCGCTTGTAGTTTGAAAACCTTATCTTCACACCCTATTGTTAACCTCTGTGGTTAGTTGCAAACATTAAGTTCAAGAATTTACCTTTGACACATGTCGCTCATTTCATCCTGTTATACAGGAAGTCAAGTATATGTGTTAATACTCCACATCAATATCAGTATTTAAAGCATTAAGTACAATTACAGTACAACTTACAACGAGTAAATAGCAACATCAATATCAAAACGGTAGAAACAGTTGGTCCTGATCATTGTCCTAATACATCACTGTCTGTGTGTGTGTGTGTGTGTGTGTGTGTTTTCAGATCTGTTCAACGCTATCCTATAAGGCGAGAGATGTAACGCAGGGGGAGGAGTCTCTCCAGATTGACATTCTGAGGGAGAGCACAGACACGCCCCCTCAGCAGACCAGCTTAGTTTATGAGATGGGAACCAGTGACCAGGGTGACCCCACGCCCCAGTCTCCCAGCATGCCCCATTCTCCTGTGGGCTCAGATGTCGACTCGGGCTGTTGGATTCGTGATTTTGCTGTAACAGAGCGAGGAAGCATCACATGCAGCGAGGACTACTGCACACTCTCCAGCTCACACACTTATGCCATCTAACATTACCGGTCAGAAGTTTGGGGTCAATTAGATTTTTTTTTCATTATTCAGCAAGGATGCATTAAATTGATCAAAAGTGACAGTAAAGAAATGTATAATGTTACAAAATTTCAACTTTTGGAACTTTCTATTCATCAAAGAATTCTGAAAATCATGTAAGAATCCTCTTGAAAATTCTGCTTTATTCACAAGAATAAAATCATATTTTAAAATATACTAAAATACATTATTTTAAATCGTAATATTTCACAATATTGCATATTTGATCAAATAAATGCAGACAGAAGTCTCAAAAACATTTTTAAAAAACGTATCCTTTTTAATCTTAAAATTTGTATTTAATGTAAACGTCTCCCTTGACACACTTTGGTCAGTTAAAGAATAATTTATGCAATTGTACATTGTTTATTTGAAAGAAGCGTAAGTGCAGTTTTGTCTTTCCTTGTGTTGTTCGACGGGTCTAGGTTGATATGGGATTTAAAAAATAATTAGTAATAAGCAATCCAATACTTTTTAGAGAGTAATTAGTACAGTAATCCAATTACGCTGATGAAGATGTAATTAGTAGCTAGTAATCATTTTTTATAAATGCAAATATATTCAGTCATATATAATCTGCTAATTGCTTCAATGAGCAAATCCTGATATATTGCTGAACAACGCCGTTTATTTGCCACAATTTACATGCAGTTAAGTAGCAAATGATCAGTCTAAATGACTGTTTTAAAGATTTTTTTTAAATACTTGCTAAAAATCCATTTATACTATTTTGTATTCTTGATTTTGAATATATATTTTTATATTAAAGCTATTCTAAAATGCTGTCAGTTTACTGCCATCGCTTTGTGTTTGTCTATATAAATAAAAATGCAATGTGTATGAAACTTCTGTGATATTTCAAGTCAGTCAGCAACTCTACATTCAGCATCATGAAAAACAATGTCTGGCTGTTATGTCTCTCCATTTTCTGTTTTTAGTAGCCATGAGCATCAAGGCGCAGCGCCACGTTTACACACCCCTGCATTCTGCTCCATCTAGCTGTTTTTGAACACAAGAACGCATCTACAAAACGCACATCTGATCAGGGCACACACACACACACACACACACACACAGTCTACAGACGCATTATGTAGAAAGAGCTTTATTAAACAAACAGACACAATCAGTGTGAACACAGGACACATGTTCCCATCAAACAAACAAGAACCCATGTACAGCATGTTTAAGAGAATTGGACTCTGGTTCTGCTGCTCACAGGAGCAATAACTCTGGACTTTATTCAACGAATCAGCATGACACAATCCTAGACAGATCTAAGACCACGTGGCTGATCAAGTACAAACGGGCCCAATGGAGAGGAAACTGGTCCTAGATCAGCATTCTGAGGGGAAATGTCACCATGAGGCACTATCCCACATATAAGACGCTATAAACCAACCTAAACCAGAGCAACACACACACACACACACACACACACACACACACACGCTCGCATGTTTTTCAAGAGGAAACAAAGCTTTACAAACATAATAAAATGACGAGTGCAAGTAAGCACACAGACAGACACCAGGAGCTAAAATCCCAACAGTCCATTCTGATCCAAGACTGAAGTTGATGTGATTTCTTACAAGCTGGTTTGAAACGCAACAAAACCTGTGGATACTGAATTGGTGACTGCGTTCTAAGGGAAACGGAGAGCAAATGAAATTAAAAGGGAAAAAAGGGAGGTACATTTTGTGGTGCAGGGGAAGGGTTTGGGGTTGATGGCACAGACATCATATTTTAAGTCCTTTTAGTCCCGGTGAGAGGATAGCACGAGTATTCACATAATCCCTCTTTCCATTCGTCTCTGTCTCGCTTACGACGGGGAGAATTTTTTGGCCTGTGCACGAACTCTCTTCTCGTACTCCACTCTATTCTGACTGTAAACAAAAACACAGAGGAATCAATGCAAGAAACATCTCACACTCGCTCTTCCAGAACTTACATAGGAACGAAATGATGTTCCTCACAGGCCCACGATGTTACTTATAGATACATATACATATATAACATAGCCTATATAGAAAAGAGGTAAACTAACTAAACAAACTCTGATTTACAGGCATGTAACAAAATAATGCTGCTTTATAAATATCCATTGCAATGGTGCTCAGTGCTATTACTGAATAAGGTTGACAGAAAATAGTTCTATTTAAATAAAACTATGGAAGCCCCTTTCCACCACATAATAAAAAAAAATGCTTTAATAAGTCAATTATGACATAAAAAGTCAAAATGATGAGATACTAGGTCATAATTATAATATAAAATTGTCAGAATTCGACTCTCTTATAAATATCAGATAAAAAGTCCTAATTGTGAGATAAAAAAAAAACTATGTAATTTTTTTTTTTTTTATGAAGACAGTCAAAACCACGAGATAAAGTCATGTCATAATTCTTCCTGTCATAATTATGGTTTACCAAACATGATATTTTTTATATTCACTTATGCAGTAAATTATGTGATAAAAGTATGTCATAATTTTGAATTGAGATGAAATGTTGAAATTTAGACAAAAATGTCATAATTAGGAGATTTAAAAATGCATTATTATGACATATTATTATTAGTCAAAATTGCAAATTGTCAATTGACAAAAAAAACCCCTCATAATTATGTCATATATTTCATGTCATAATTAGCCATTGTATCAATTATGATTTAACAAGCATGATATTTTTCATATTGATTAAAGTGGAGGAAATGGTCCAGTTTTATGGAAGCCTAATATTTGCATAGAGCACGAGCAGACGAACAATGACACCCTTCAGCTAAAACTTTACTGTACTTTACTGTAACTGCATGTGTGAAACATACCAGTATATAGTGTACGCCTCTGCCTGAGCTGGATCCTGTATGTTCGGTTCATTTAGCAGCTCCTGAATCCCTAACAGGATCTGAAGGAGGAATAAAAGAAAGAATTAGAATAGAGTATTTTAGAAAGCAAAGCACTGGAACACTGTTGAGCAGAGTGGAATATAGTTTTAGGTGACCTGTTTAATGGTGATGGCAGGTCTCCAGTCTTTATCCTCCTCCAGGATGGAAAGACACACTGTTCCTGACGGATACACATTCGGGTGGAAGAGCGGAGGCTCAAATTTACCTACAAAAGAGAAGCAAGTATTCGTGACGTGTGGTTCAGGCAACATGGACTGAACATGTTTGTGTAAAACTCACACTTTGGGGGTGATGAGGGGTAGTCATCTTTAAACAGCATCCTTAACTTAAACAGCCCTCCTTCCCATGGAGTCTAGGGAGAGATGGAGAGAAACCTCACATGATGCTTCAGATCTACAGCGGCGTGATCCAAGTAAAGCTTAAATGAACAGTCTTACCCCCTTCTTTCCTGGAATAGCACATTCCCAGTTCATGAGATTCATGGTGCCATCGGGGTTTTTCGTCGGCACAGCAACAAAGCCCTGGGAACATTTGGTCGGGACAAAATCATTAAGCGAGCACCAGAAGCACTGGACCTCTGTATTATTCCGAGGTGCATAAAATCAATGTTGTGAAATAATTGCCTAATATAGTATTAACTCTACTTTAGTTCTGCAAGGTTATTGCACAGCACAAGATCTTCTCATTGGTCTGTCGCCGCTCATCAATGTCAAAATATCTGAGATGACCAATCAAATCAAAGTAGGCGGGCATTATGTTCACAGAAACGCAACGTTTCAGTAAACGGCCATAAAGTCCAAGATAACATGTAAGCAGCTAAACTAAAAATGACATATTTGACGGCTGTTTTAGGATAGAAGTGTTAAACGACCGACAAAAATAATCAGGCAAACTAATAAACTTTTGTCTAATTTTGCCACTTTGAATTGAAAATAGGCCTATTTAATTAACGCAGCATTCCCGTAATGTAATAAATATAGTAACCGTCAATGTGAGAGGACTAGAAACATTAACAAAGCCGTTTTAATCATATTAGGTATAAGATTAATATTGAATGTGTACATATTGTGAATGAATTTAGTATTTACCTAGCGTTCATAGACTTCAGTAAACTAACTTGTGTAAGAAAATGATTAATAAAATATATAGGCTAAATATCAGTTGACCTCATGTTTACTTTCTACACTGACAGACGGAAATGAAAAGACTATCATTTAAACGAGTGATGGAGATGAGGAGAGCAGGTATTGATCAATAATCTACCGCCCACTTACATGGTTTTAAAGCTATTTATTATTCATAGTTTTGGCCTTTAAACATCTTAAAAATCACATATGTAGATCAGAGAAATAAAATTTTGGACCTCAGTGATTATAAACCCCTGTCTACGGCCCTGACCGGAGGATACAATGCACATGTGTTACGGGGTTTATTTAGTGGTATATAAAACTAGCAATTATTTGTTAAGATTATAAATTTGCACAGTTTAAAACTGATGGTTGTGTAGGGATTGTGAGTGCATTTGTTAAAAGAATATTAGTGTTACTCACGAATGGATGGTCTTTCCTCCATGCTTTGCGCTCTTGTGCAAGTCGACTCAGAGCAATGCCAGACATGACCACTGATCCTATGGAGAAATGCACATTTATCTGAGTACGCGTTTGAGAGCCCATCATCCATCCATCCATCCATCAATTTATCTGTTTGTGGGAAGTCTATTTACATTGTGAAAAACTGGAATATTAAAATAAATTCACCTAAACAAAAGTTTAGATGGCTAACATTTAAAGGGACAGTACCAGAAAAAAAAAATGTATACTTAGAAATTGCCCAACATATACACCTGCCTGTGACTGAGAGACACACATGAGAACCAACATAAAGATTCTTATTTTTATTTTTTTTGCATGTGAAAGTAATTTTTCTATGTAAGTATTATGTCAAATAAATTGTATCCATTTCTAAAAGATACACCATACATGTTGGTGAATTACCAATGTATAAAACCTGCTTAAACTAATTGGCTATAGTTCTCCATGAATCATGTTGCCAATATAGTAGCTTTGGGGTAAGCTGTGCCAGTGGTTCAAATAATAGTGATTTTTGCCTCTAAATCTAGCTAATGTAATTATGTTTATTTACATAAAAATATAAATGATTTATGTTTCCCAATGATTCAGTTGAGCCCTTGACATGACAGTTTACCCCAACACTTTCTAATCAAATTTATATGGCCTATCATAATCACGATTTCTTAAATTCACAGCATAGACTAAAATTTAAGTACAATTGATCTAAAATTTGACATCATAATCAAGATGTTACGTCACACACTATGTAATCAATCACACATCATAACGAAAACTGAGGTTATTAATCTCCTATTGCATCGATATAATAAAGGGTAAAACTCCAGCTTATGATGTCATAATATTAAGTTTACAATCATGATTATGGCCGTCATAATATAGGGTTGTAGGTGCTTATAATAGAAGTTCCATCTACACTATGATATAATAGGATTTTAACTCCACAGTATGCCACCATAATCAAGGAAGGGTTTTAACTTCACATTATGACATCATAAAATGTCAATAAATATGGAGTCCAGCGATGGAACGCTGTTCATGAGCGCGCAGGACAAAGAAACTCGACTTCCTTTGACGCGAGCGCGCGTTCACACAGCAACCATACCAAACAAAACCGATGCGACCGTTTACTAGTTACCAAAACACAATAATGCCTCTCCCGTGTGGACAGAACCGTCTTACCTTGTGAATCCCAGTGTTATTCGTCTTCTGGGCCCGCTCACTCGAACCGTGTTTGACTCGGTACCAAAGCTGTGAAGTTTCCCTCCCGAAAACACATTCGGTTCTGAGTGAAGCAGTCTAATCAGGACCAGCGGCACTACACGCAGATCGCCTGCAGGAAAATTCGGGATCAATTGAAATAACCCTAATCTTGTTCGTTTAACCGATCGAATTGTTGAAATATTTGAGCTTAGACGTGTAGGCGCCGTGTGTTTGGGAATATGATACGTTGTCTTTTCCCTCGTGGAAACATTTAGAACAGGCATTCCTTTAGACGGCTAAAATTTAAAGGGACAGTACCAGAATAAAAAAAAATCTATCTATCTATCTATCTATCTATCTATCTATCTATCTATCTATCTATCTATCTATCTATCTATCTATCTATCTATCTATCTATCTATCTATCTATCTATCTATCTATCTATCTATCTATGATGCTTGTTACATTGTGTGAAATTGGAATAGTAAAACAAATTCACCAAAACAAAAACATCAGAGACAAAATCACAATTGGCCTTAAAAAAAATTGTATGTAAACATGTTGTTTAGACTTGCTAAAAATGCAGAATACAGTTTGATGGCTGCAAATAAAAAAATATGGCTTATAAATACTGGCATTGTGTGGCAAGTAAATTAATTTTGGAGAATGAAAAAAAATGGAGCAACTGAATGACATGAAGTAGTTTTTCAGCTCACATTTACAGTGGCGTAACAGTACAAGCATTTTGTGTTCTGCTGATATTAATGACTTTATATACCGGTACGTCAGTGATGTGGAAAACCACACACGAGTGCTGCATCCTTCGAAGGCCGATTGCGTCACCGCAAGGCTGTCCCAATTCGAAGGCTCCCCCAAATGCGTACTTCGTTTGGCCTTCCTACCCCAGAATTCATTGAACGGCAGTGACGACAGGATTTCTTTTTTCAGAGAGAGAGAAATTGTCGAATTACACTTTTAAACTTAAGTATTGGGGTTCAATTTACTCAAATAATATAATACAAATGTAAAAAAAAAAAAAAAAAAAAAAAAAAAAAAGTTCAAATCTTACTAAGATAAGATGCATTGATATATAGTTCTATATACTCTTTATTATATGCAGAAATGGACCATGGTGAACATATTTAGACGTGTTTGTGAACCCTGTTTTGTTTTCAGACAGTTTAATATAATTTTCTAAAAAGTCCAAAACAAACGTTACTGCAGCTCTTCAACGGCAGATGTCACAGTTGATAGGCGACACGAACAGTCCTCCGTAAACTAGACCGTCCCAGAGCCATATAAACTAGAGAGACTGTCCCATTTAACAATGCTCGGTCCGACCTTCACGGCCTTTGAAGGCAGCTGCCTTTGAATTGGGACCTTTTTACAGTCTATGATTGAGACACAGTCACACAGCCGCTATTTCTTGTCATGTGTGCTGGTCACGTGTTTGCACAGATGGTGCAGCAGCGACTCCTGGATTAATCTCTCAGCATGAAAGGGGAATCTTAATATTCAAATGATTCTCTCCATTTACGCATGGGGAAGCATTATCATCTGAGCCGGAATTACACAATGTTTGAAATTATGCTGATGTTAATCAAATCATGACATGACCACGTCGTGACCCGTTTGACAGACATGACTGAGATAGGCTATTAATATTAATATATCGGGTTTTAATATTTTGAATTAGCTTTTGTTTTTACATTTTCCGTTTTCATTTTAATTTTTAGTTTTAGTTAAAATGCTAGTTTTAAAAAAAATATCACTAGTTTTTATTTCCGTTTTGTTAGGCCGGTTCATACCATAAACATCTTACGATAGAGGCTACTAAATCAGCTAAAGTATCCCGACGATACCATGCAGTATCCTGTTAATTCATTATTCAAATCTACTAAATGAACCAAATTTTCATAAATACGTGTAGGCTAAATGAAAACAGACAAGATTTTCCTCTAAGTACTTTATTAATGAGAATAAATGGCTACTATTGCTGCTAATCAAATATAATCAGTGTAAACAAAATCCATCTTAGCACTGCCAACGTAGCACAGAAATAGCATAAAGTGACATTTAGATATTTACACGGACAATTCGGTGCTGAATTGCATAAATAATGTTATGAGATTAAATAATGTTTTAAATTGGCAATAAAACTCGGAACATATAAATGCGAACATGTTGGAAAAATGTTTAAATTGGAAAGTAAAACCGTCAGTAGGTGGCAGCAAGTCCTAATGATCGAGTCACTGAATCATTTATCTAACCGATTCATTCCGGAACGAAGCAAGTGACTATTTTTATGAATGGCTCAGCCCGATTTGTTCAAAAACACGGATTTATGAAGAAACAAAACAAACACCGCTGTGTTGAAAACATTCTGCTTTGTTTAGAACTATTTTCATTGGTGAAATAGAACGAAAACATCAATATTGACAATGTTGTGTCTAAAATGTCCTTTAAGTTTACTGAACTATTGTATAAAATCAATCACATTTGTAATAGTGTTGATGATGAAAACAGGACTCTTGCTCAGTCATATTGCTGAACGATCATGTTATAGCCTGAATATAAAAAACAAGAACACAGGAGTATTTTCTGCCCCATATCTTGACATGTTCAACTCTGACTAGAGGGCAATAAAACATATAATTCACAATGATACCGTTTTTTTTTTTTTTTTTTTTAAAGAGGCATTTGCAGTATTTTTGAAGCTTTAGTATCGCAATATAGTATCAGTATATCGTGCAACCCTATCTAGTTAAACAATGAAAATGAGAAATAAAATAAGTTTAGTGTTTAGTTTTTATATTTTATTTCATTTTGGTATATTATTTTTAACCATTTTAACAACATTTTCCTAATAACCTGCTTTCTCCACAATGGCAGTAAGAAGCAGACGCATAACTATTTGTTAAAAATGCATTTATGTCTTAAAAGTGTGTGGATGTGTGTGTTCATTCAGCTACTTGGGATTATAGTGTCATGAGATTTTGCAGTACAGCTTTAGATTTTACTTGTTACCGAAACACAAAAATGTGTTTAACATTTTCAAAAATGACATACAAATGCATCTATTGTTACCTTACAGGATATATAATAGTGTTTGTCCTTATATTAAAATGTGCAAGGTGTCATTTAAATGCTTTCCCGATCCCGTCTTTCCTCTTGGTTGACAGACAGAAAAGCTCTTTCCCTTTAAGGTCCAGCCAGAAGGTAATAAGATACACTAACACATTTCTTAACAGCAAGGATGCATTTATGATACCTCTGAAATATTGCCTGGATGATAACAATAATAGCAGTAGTGCAAAAGCAATAATGTTCAAAAGGAGTAAAAAAAAAAACTAAACAAAAAAAACATTCCAGATACAGGTCAAAAGTTTGGGGTCAGTAAGTTTTTTTTTTTTTTTTTTAAGAAAAGAATACTTTTATTCAACAAGGATGCATTGAATTGGTCAAAAGTGTCATTAAAGACATTTGTAATGTTATAAAGGATTTCTATTTCAAATAAATGCTGTTCTTTTGAAACTTCATCAAAGAATCCTGATTAAAATGTAGCACGGTATATCAAATATGAAGCAGCACAACTGTTTTCAACATTGATAATAATCATAAATGTTTCTTGAGCAGCAAATCATCATATTAGAGTGATTTGTGAAGGATCATGTGACACTGAAGACTGGAGTATTGATGCTGAAAATTCAGCTTTGATCACAGGAATAAATTACATTTGAAAATATATTACAATAGAAAACAATTATTTTAAATTGTAATAATATTTCACAATGATACTATTTTTACTATATTTTTAAAATAAATAAATTAAGGTTTGGTAGAAGAGACTTTTCAAAAATATTTCAAAATCTTACAGACCCCAAACTTTTGAAATCTCACACATGGAAATGTCACTCAGCACTGAGATCTTGTGCTCAACCGTGGCGCCGATTTTCAAAATCACTATTGTTAACTATTGGTTGTTTATACAAATCAAATGCAAGTCATTGATCATGTGACTCATACTGAAGCTCAGTGTGCTTTTGTACCATCTCATATCACACAGGAGAACATGATCATTAGGTTTTGTTTGTACATTTGTAACTAAAACCATTTGTTTTAAACTAGAAAATGCGTCACTATTGGACAGAGTGCTTGTGATTGTAACAGGTGGACAGTGATCCAGAGTGACGTCACCGTTTCCTTTTGATCCCTGAGATTTACAATGGTCCAGTTCTTCAGATCCGGACCTGTCGATCGGGAATCAGTCCATGAAGATCACAAATAAAGCATCCCAGTGTTTATTCCAGGCACCATAAGTGGACATGCTCTTCAGGTGCTGCTTGCGTGCTTCAGTTTGTCGGTGCGCGTGAAGAGAACAAGCTCATGGAAGGTTCTAGAAAGAACTGATGTGTCTCAGATATCAGATAGAAGCTCATATTCTAGAACCGCGCTCCTGTAGAATCTGAGGGAAAACAGCAGAGGATTTACATGATACAACGAAAGATTACTAATCTGCATTGAGCTACTGTCGATAATACTCTGCAACACAACGGCTCTGTTTGGAATAACCAAATACTTGAACCATCTCTGAAGAATTACAGTGTACACTACTGTTCAAAAGTTTGGGGATCTGCTCATCAAGGCTGCATTCATTTGATCAAAAATGCAGTAATATTGTGAAATATTATTACCATTTAAAATAACTGTTTTCTATTTGAATATATGTTAAAATGTCATTTATTCCTGTGATCAGAGCTGAATTTTCAGCATCATTACTCCAGTCGTCAGTGTCACATGATCAATCATTCTAATATGCTGATTTGCAGCTCAACAAATATTAAGCAGAACAACTGTTTTATAATAATAATCAGAAATATTTGTTGTGGAAACTGTGATGCATTCTTTTAGGATTCTTTGATGAATGGATGGTTCAAAAGAACTGCATTTATTTGAAATTAGAATCTTTTGTAATATTATTTAAGTCACTTTTGAACAATTTAACATGTCTTTGCGAAATAAAACTATTAAAGGTCTTGCTGACCCCAAACCTTTGAATGGTAGTGTGCATAGTATGGATTTTCTGTATGCATAGAATACAAAGATAACCTACAGGTACTATATTTGTATTAGCATACCAAAAATAGTGTCGGTTTTACTTTGGACTCTTTCTTAAAATAGTGCTCTTATAATCTATGGAGTATATACTATGTATAGTGTGCATAGTATGCCCATATTCTGTATGCATGGGATACCTGGATGATGTACTACATTATAGGGCACACTGCTTGATTATATTGTATCCCACAATGCAGCGTGATTGACACGATTTTCTGATTTCATTCTTTAAACGAACCAGACGCATTATGAGTTCGTTTTTAACTTTTATACACAAAATTATGAAATAGAAATACAAAATTATTTCTAAAATGATGCTATATGCAATTTATGCAACATATATCACCTTCATAAATGTTACAATAAATGTAAAAAACAAACTAAATAAATATTAAAATGAAAATAAATACATTTTTATACATAGATTTAAAAAAAATGCTAAATAACTATCAAATAAATATTTTATTTCTAAAATAATGACAGAATTCAACAAACATGAGGACATGTGACCAACGTAATAAGGCCATCAGAACAGTAACATACTGTTTCACATACTATTTTTAGGCGGTATTCGGTGTATACTGCGTACAATAGAGCAGTGTGCTAGTACGGTAATCCAGTTTGAACACAGCCGAGCACACACGCTGCTTACCTTGGCTTTCTCACTGGGCTGGGAGCTGCTGCTGTATGATTGGTTGTGCAGTTCCTTAGAAACAACACACAAGAACTCCGCCTGATCTTCACTACCGTAGTTATAGGAGGAGCCGATACTCACCAACTACGTAAAACATGAACGAGAGACAGAAACAGAGAGGAACACAGTGACAGAGATGAGCAACTGTTCTCATTGAGCGACTAATGATTAAAGAAACAGTACACCCAAAAATGCTAATTATGTCATGAGTCACTGAAAACGTTACTCGCAAATCTAATTTTTGAGACTTGCTTATATTCAAATGCACAATTTGGTGTCACTAACATCTTAAGACGGCATTTTAAATATTACGCACAATTGTGATTCAAGAGCTATTTTTTTATTGTAATTTAATTGTCACACTTTTATGATGCTTATTTGGGAGCATATTATTTCCGTTCCCATTCACTTTAACTGTTACAGTGTGAATGCTGCGCACAATATGTAGATATAAAGTGCAGGTTTGGAACAGCATGACGGTGAGAAAATAATGACAGAATTGACATTTTTGGATGAATAATCAGTTTAAGGCAAGACACTACAGGCAAAAAAACATGTTTTTTCATGCACTGGTCTATTTTGAGAGTTGTTTCAGACTAGTGGAAATAAAACATCCAAAATACACTTTTAAATGTTGATTTTATTGCACTTTATCTATCTGCATCTATAGATATCAATTACAATTCATCTTTTTTAAAAGCCGTTTTCTCAAAATCAGTCACAGAGGGGTTTGTTTCATATATCATTTGATTGATTTAATACAACATTTTACTCCTAAAAACATGGTGAAAATGTATTTTGTTCTGGCTGTTGGCAGTATTTCTTGATTTATGGAATGATAAAAAGAGATCCTCTGAAAATGCAAAAATCAAAATGTCATCAAAATAAAACAAGAATTCTGAACCTGGCTTTATCCAATGTTCAGATATCTGTTCTGGAAATGTATCCAACTAGATAATGGGTTTGATATGTAAAGTCTGTGTAAGTCTCTCACGTTCCATGAAAGCGTGGTCTGTTTTACATCGCTGTCCTGCTCAGCAGTGGTGATGCTGAGGGAGGTCAAAGGTGGTCAGGCCCCTTGGTGGTCAGGCCTCGTTTCACCATTTTTGAGCAGCTTTGTCTGGCTTAAGGATGAAAACAGTGACACGTTCTTCCTGTTTAGGCTTATCTCTGGGGCCATAAAAGTCTTCTCTGGGGGGTTTTCTAGACAATTTGGAGCCAGTCTTGTGACTTTGGAATGTGGTATTCAGATCCGAAATGCTGAATCACATTTGAATGAATCCCATGAGAGATTAGAAAGATTAATTTGTGTTTGGTTCATCCTTAAAGTCTCTACAATGTCATCAAAATAAAACAAGAATTCTGAACCTGGCTTTATCCAATGTTCAGATATCTGTTCTGGAAATGTATCCAACTAGATAATTTGCATATTTATACATAAAAAAAAAATTGTAATACAAAAAAATGCTGGGAAGTATGTTGATATATGTAATTATTACATTTTTACCGTACTCACCAGGGGTGTCTTGCCTTAAAAGGTTTGTTCACCCAAAAATTAAACTATCCCATAATTTACTCACTCTCAAGCCATAGGTGTACATGACTTTCTTCTTTCAGCCGAGCACAATCTGAGTTATATAAAAAATATCCTCGCTCATCCAAGCTTTATAACGGGAGTGAATGGTACCACTGATTTTGAATCCCAAAAAAGTGCATCCATCCATCATAAAAGTAATCCATATGACTCCAGTGGGTTAATAAAGGCCTTCTGAAGCAAAGCGATGCGTTTTCTAAGAATAATATCCATATTTATACATTTATAAACCATAATCACTGGCTTCCGGTAACGGCCGTACGCGAGTCCAGTTCCGGCGGAAGAGTGACCTCTGACCGGAAGCCAGTGATTATGGTTTATAAAGTTATAAATATGTATATTTTTCTTACAAAAACACATCGCTTCTACAATTACTATTCACTCCCACAACAAAGCTTGGAAGAGCCAGGATATTTTTTTAATATAACTTTTGTGTTTGGCTGAAAGAAGAAAGTCATGAACACCTGGGATGGCTTGAGGGTGAGTAAATTATGGGGTAATTTTCATTTCTGGGTGAACTAACCCTTTAAATTAAAATATAACATGGTGCACTTAAACAGTCAACATGCTCGGGAATGCATCAGAATGCAGAGATCCACCGTTGTTAAAAGCATGCTAACACTTATAAACATGCAGACTGAAAGCACGACATCCACGCAAGTCACATTCACTGTGTCCATTGCAATGAAAACCAAAACTGCGAGGGCATGCAGTGGTTAGTGGGGGGACAGGGGATTGTTGGACACACCTCTCCACTGTGGGCGGGGTGAGTTTGGCTTGACTCCTCCCCCTTCACCTCCCGAGACACAATCAGGAAAAACTCTGACTTCTGGGCCCGCCCATAACCTACACTGACAAGCTGCAACAACCAATCAGAGCGTAAGGCAGGGCCTGCATCACACACCGCAGGTCAGCTGAACCGGCGGGAGCGATTCTGATTGTTGTGGAGCTGGAATGATCAGATGAACTGATGCCGGGTTTGATTTACCTGCTCAAACTTCCACCCGTCTGACATGGTCGAGACCATCTGCGTCAGCTCTTCCTCTTGACACTGCAGAACTCTGTAAACATGCTTGACTGGCGTCTGAAGACAGAGACAAGGGTGGTAAAACATCTTAAACATTTGTCCTCCATTTACATGCTACATGTAAATAATGAAAATGTCATTTAATTTCATTTAAAGGGGACCCATTATGCAGAATACACTTTAATATGGTGTTTGAACATAAATGTGTGTCGGCAGTGTGTGTACACAACCACCATATAATGGTAAAAATCCATGCATTCCTTTTTTTAATCCCCATAAATCATAAACCGTGTCTCAGAATAAGCTGTTTGCAGTTTCTATGCAAAGTGATGTCACATACAGTAGGCTTAGGCCCCGCCCACGACTGCTGAGGACTCTGCCTTATTAGCATAGACCCGCCCTCAGAGAGCTGGACACAGTCCGCCATGTTTATCTCTTGGCCAGAGCATTTAACAGCAGCACTCCAGTAAGAAATGTATTCTTATTAAAGCTACTAAAGTTATTCAGTCAAGTGCATTCAGTTTTGTTGTTTGATTCATATTAACAGCATATATATCAGGTACTGTATATTACGCTGATTTTTACTTTAATACACAGAACTAATATACACATGCGATTTTTCTACTTGCCGTTTACGTTCACAGACATAAGCAACTGTGTTTATGTGAACTCTGTCAAATACACAGAAGGTTATGTTATAAACACACAGTTTAAGCGCAATAAGACATGAAAGATAACGTAGTTTAATACCGATGGGACGCTCCGTCTGAAATCCAGCTTTCTGTGTGTGTGCGTCAGATGTGTGCCCTCAGAAAACCATATATCAGAAGTTTAGACTGATACGGCTTTAAAGGGGTGGTTGATTATGATTTCACTTTTCTAACTTTAGTTAGTGTGTAATGTTGCTGTTTGAGCATAAACAACATCTGCAAAGTTACAACGCTCAAAGTTCAAAGCAAAGGGAGATATTTTCTTTTAAAGGGGTCATATAATGGTACATGCACTTTTACAAGTTGATTGTACTGAAATGTGTGTTGGCAGTGCCTGTACACAACCATCATAAAATGATAAAAATCCATCCAGTGTTTTTGTTTTAATCTCCTTATATGTTTTCCCCTGCCTCAAATCAAGCCGTTCGACCTTGTGACGTCACACGCTCGGAAGCCCCTCCCACGATTGTTGATTGACAGCAGCGTTTCAACACAGACCCGCCCTCGCTCGTGCGGGAGCTGTCAATCATAGTCTGCGCGGACCGGCGCGGTCATTGTTGATATGCTGGAGCACTGTCTATGAGCAGAATGGCGTCTAAGCGATTGTGGTGTTCTGTTCTTGGGTGTAATAACGAACACAGTCATTTTAATGTTCCTAAATCCGAACCGCTGAAGACGCAGTGGCTGAGTTTGTTTTCGAAGGGAATATTCCCCACGAGCAACGTCAATGCTCTCATGTTTGCGCGAATCATTTCTCACACCAGACTGCTTTATAAACGAGGATCAGTATGAGCTGGATTTGCTAAGAAGCTGCTCATGAAAAAAGGATCGGTACCAGATATTCGTGTTCCTGCTGAACCTCCAGAAGAACTGAACTAAACTTTATATTAATATTTATATTAATCTTTGCAAATCGCTAGCTGCACGCTTCACAATGAATGCGTCTAAGGTTTACACTCAGGGTACATTACGGCATGTTTTCTCTGTATGATGTTCTCAATATAATTCATAATCCCACGTTTATACTGAACAACGCGTTATGGTTATTGTGTTATTGAGTTACAAATGGTGTACGCACAGAACAGGCGGGGTGAGCAAAGCTCATTATCATTTAAAGTCATATGCACTGAAACGGCGTGCTGAAAACAGAGCTGTTTTTGACCAGGTAAAATAAGTGTTTTCTTACAATACTAATGAGAATTTGTAATTAAAGTATATTACAAACTTTTAATTTAGACCCTAAAGAATCATACTAGCTTGTACAAAAATGGCATTATATGACCCCTTTAAAGGAATTGCTTTTTAAGGACTACAACAAACGGCTGGTAGGGACTACCCGACATTCATCCTGGGTTAGTGACATCACTAACCCTAAAATTTACATAAACCCTGACTCCGGGAACACGATTTATAGATTATCAAGACAGAATATCCTAATCAATGACTATTAGATAACTTCACATAAGCAACATAAATTAATCAACTAACCATTCAGAAATGTTGTCTACATGTTGCCACTTCTTCTTAAGTCTCTCCATTTTTGTCTGACTTCGGTTTGAACAAAAAAAAGGCTAAAAATTTGGATATTTTCAGTGCATGTCTGTGTGAGGTAACTGAAGCTGCTAAGAACGAGCTGTTGTAGCTCCGCCCTCAGGGGAGCCGCAGCTCATTTGCATTTAAAGGGACGGACACAAAAACGGTGCGTTTTTACTCACCCTCAAAAAGTGACATTTATGCTATATAAAAATATCTGTGGGGTATTTTGAGCTAAAACTTCACATACACACTCTGGGAGACTTATTTTACATCTTGTGAATAGGGCATTATACCACCCCTTTAAAACACATGCAGATAATAAACTTTCATGATGATGAAGAACTGCAATGTCATGTGAGCGTGACCGCGATAGAGATGATAATCAAAACCGAACAGATGTTTTAGTTTTTGCCAGAGTATGGGAGACACGAGCTGTAAAGGCTCTTCTGGAAAGAGGGGCGGGGAGCAGCAGCTCATTTGCATTTAAAGACACATGCACGAAAACAGCACGTTTTGCCTTCCACTCAAAAATACTAAACAACATGCTGTAATAAATGATCTGTGGGGCATTTTGAGCTGAAACTTCAGACACATTCTGGGGACACCTGAGACTTATATTACATCTTGTAAAAAGGGGCATAATAGGTCCACTGTAAATGTATGCCTGAAGGGTATAGATTTGCATACGGCTAGAATGAAATTTCATAACTTTATAATGAAACTTTATCTAGCCTAATTTATAGTGAAATTTCCTGCTCCCTTACGTGTATCGTCTTAGCATCTCTTTCACTGATGTTTTCTTTGATGAGTTTTATTAATGATGTGATGTTGTAGAACTCCGCCTCTTCGAGAGCTCCTGAGACACACATGCAAACCGAATTAAAGTTACAGAGCAACAATCACAGTCTCGATCATGTCAGTTTGACGGTGCATGTTTGTCGTACCTTCCTCTGTCAGGTTCTTGTTGAGGACCAGCTTTCCATGTCTCAGATAATTCAGTACGGGCCCGAAATACATGGGATCCCTGTCAATCAAATATGCCCCTGTCTCATCCTACAGTATCAATGAAAGGACAGAGAAAGAAACCTCAGCAATCACATTGCGACGACCTGCAAACACCCTAACTGCATAGAAATGCCCTGGAAACCATCCATAACACCCTAGCAACCACATAGCAATGTGCTAAAACCCTCTGAAAACAGTAAAAAATAGTACCATTTTAGTAACCACATGCCTGAGAGTTTTGACAACGGAAAATGTGAAAATCAAGTTATCATTATTATTACAAAACAGCCTGTTTTTACTTCACTTTGCGTGCAACCAGGGAACAGCAAGAGAAGAGATCCATTAGAGGAAAGTGAGTTTAAACATTAATGAGTTGTGCACGTAAGTGTGTGTGTGGGACTCGGCATCCGTTCTTAATGGCATGCAGGCCACATTCATAAAAAAATAAACGTATGTGATACACACACGCACAATATTCTGTTCAAGCTTCAACCAGGACACTTCCAAATGCGTAATGGACCTGGAACAGTGTGTGAGGCTGAAATCTGCCTTTTATCAAATCTGGGGCACAAACAGCGTGGAGTGATTTCCCAGAGCCTTAGAGACTCCTGCTCTTTACAGGGTTAAAGCCCCTAGAGAGCAGGATTATTCTGGATTAGGGTTATTTTGAGATTACCGTCTGAGATTTGAGAGATGAGAGGAGGTAAGACAGCAGGAGCAGCGAGAACCCAAAAGAATTTGACACACGCACACTGCTGTTCAAATGGCAAAAAAAAGTATTTAATTTGTTACAGTGAAATTATATAGTTTAAGTGTGCACTTCAACTACTCATTATGATATGATTTAAAGAGGAAGCGTGTAATGTTTGTTGCCACCAAATAAAATGCAATAGTTTCAAACGTGTTTCCCGAACATTTGAACGCAGCAAGTGCCCCGAACAAACATGTAGCTCCGCCCCCAAACTCACGCAATTGGTTGAGAGGATCCGTATGTGCCTCTTACACTTTTTCCAAAGAATCAAACTAGAAATGGTTTACTTATAATTATTTCTACATATTATGAGATAATTACTAGGAGAAAACATTTTAACATTACATTTAAGCGTCAATGATAAATTGAAATTTCACAAACATGTAGACTGTAGAAAGTTATTTTATCGTTATATTACATCATCTTTATTTTTTATCCATTTAACGACACAATAATTGCTATTTCTATTCAGTTTTGAAAACTTAAACCCGATTTTAACAAAAAATAAAAACACTTTTAAAAGCATGTTAGCTTTAATGATACATTAAAATATTAGCCAGTAACATCTAATAATAATCATGTAGACTGAAGACAATTCTTTCATCCTTATAACGGCATTATTGTGACATGGAGAAAAATAAAGGTATGTCAGTTTTCAAATTTTATCAATTTTTCAGATACCATTTTGATACAGTTTATCAGTTTTCCGATTCTATCAATTTTCATCAAATGGTTGGATATAATGCAAAAAGTTTTATTTTACACTGGAAAAACTGCAGTCTAATCGATTCAATCATGTTAAATAATACTAGGCTACTAATTTTTACTTAGAAATAAAACCGATAACCAGCTGTAATCCAGCTGATTCTAATATTTTTGGCCTACACTTAAAAACCTCCCGCTTGCACCCAACACTGACCATTGCCTGATCTGACCCCTGATCTCGGACACAGCTCAGGTGTCATAAGCGGGATTGTGTCCAGATTACAAAGCAAAACTGGGGCAGATGTGCTGATGATGTCATCGACATGGCCACCCCAGGACGCCACAATCTGCCTGCACGTCCCCCCAGCCCAACACTCGAGGAGAAGAACAGTAGAGAGCTTGTTCTGGGACTGGGGGAGGAGGGGTGGGGCGGACGGTAAAAGTGTGTTTGTTCGAGTCCATCCGACAGGAAAACAACTCTAGACAAAAACAGCCATCTGGACAACCCCCCAAATTACCATAGAAACAACACAAATAACTCCATGCAACAATATAAGTGATTATGAACTGAGGAGAAGTGAAATAACAGCTTCATTCTGATGACCCATTTTAAAGCATCTCCTCCAAACTGAGGAGAAATAGATCTTTTGTCTTGTGAATAATTTAAAAACTGAACAAAAACAGGTTTATGCATGCTTAATGCCAAATGATAAGCGTTTTTAAACATAGATAGGCTGCATTTATTTCTGTACAACTGTCAGTTTTGGTTTTGTTTACATTACAGCTTTTTAAAACATTGTTTAGATGTTTGTTTATATTCATCTGTAGATGCATAAGGTTACCATAAATATCTTATTTAATAATGGTCCTGTGTGTGAATAAATATAATTTGTATAATTCAATTATAAATAATATCAAATTACATAATTACTAGTCAAAAGACATTGTCAGTATAACGGTATTACGTGAAATGCGTGTTAAAGAGGCTTTGTTTGAGTATCATTTTACAGACTTCTGCACTCTCTAACCTACTTTTCCCCACCCATTCTTTATAAATAAGTTATACATGAACTAAATAAATAAATGGTCTGTCTTAGATGCCAAGTTATTTATCTCAGTTGAACAGGCAAAATGATCTCTAAATGAAACAAATCAAACTGTATTACCTTATCCGAGTCGAGGTCTGGCTCTGCTTGGCACAGGCGGAACAGGAATGATTTGGGGTCCCGGCAGAGAGTCTGTCTGGTGGACAGAAAATACGTGCCGCCGACGTTCAAACGCACCCACTTGGAGGATCTGTGGTTGAAGGTCTGAGCGGGAGCCAGTCGACAGTCGTGGCCGCTGATCTCGCCGTGACTCTCGGCCATCCTGAGCTCGGTGTTCCGCTGAAGTGCGTAACGGTGACCGCGCGCCTCTCCAATATAACCAAGTTAACCCAACAGACGCCCGAAGAGCGCAGCGCACTGACGGCGCGAGAAACACCCCTCAGTTTTGTTTTTGGGCGCGAGAAAGAGAGAAAAGACATGGGATGTGTTGTTTATTCCGATATCTAAATCCACTGAGAGTATTGCGACTGAATTTCTAGTGATTCGAAAAGGAATCATTCTTATGAACCGATACTTTTTAGTGATTCGATCGAACCGCTAAGCGAAGCGTTTGGGGATCAAATTGCTTGACGGGAACAATATTAATAATTATAGTAGGCTACTGGGAATAATTAATGTGATCATCAACATTATTAAAATATTAAATAATGTTGTTTTGTAATATTAACATTATTAATAGTGTTAGAAATTTTACAACAATAAACATTTAAAACCAATTTAGAATTGGCAATTAACTATTTGAGTCCTAATAGTAAAAAAAAAAGGTTAAACAGCGATTTTAGAATAAAATGACCAAGTCTCGGATAGAACCGATTCGATAGACAGAATCGGATTTCTTAACACTATTCGAAAAAAATGTCCGGATGTGAACGAGTTTAAATTGTGTTTTAATGCCAGTCACACTTTAGTTTAAGGTCCAATTCACACTCTGAACTAACTAACTAGTACCTACGACTTTTGCCTCTAAACCCCAAATTATTGCTTAATAGTTAGTAAACTAGTTAAGTTTATGAGTAGGATTATGGGACGAATATGGTGATGCAGAATAAGGCATTAATATGTGCTTTATAAGTACTAATAATAAACAGCCAATGCCAGTAATATGCATGACGTTTAAGATGTTAAATAATGCAAGTTCAGAGTTGTGTATTTTTTTTGTGTGTAAATTTGTTTACTTGTCATGTTTTTGTACCAGCAAAAAAATAAATAATAATAATTATATGCATGCTAATAAGCACCTACTTAATAGTGAGAATTGGACCCTAAAGTGTTACCTTAATGCCTAATGAACAGCTTGTCTAAATGGCGCCTGCAATACTTGTAGTAAAAATCTTTATAGGTCATCACATGATGCATGTGATTCCAAAAAATGCCCACTAGGTTGAGACTAAAAGCCCATTTATTTTAGACTGAAGGGCTGCACGAACAACTGAGATCGCATGATTCAGATTGCCACACTGCTATCATGAAGTTAGTTTGTAATTAGTGGGTCTGATTGATTAGCTACTTTTGAATCTGACTAGGCTATGAAAATACTAGCCTACTAATACTAATTAATCTACAGAATAGATCTAACAAAGCCTGTCAGAAATATGTCCTGATCCTATTCCACCCCAAAAAGTAAAAAATAAATAAAATATAATAAATACATCTTATAAAGATTTTTAGGATAATTAAAATGTTCTTAATCCTAAAAAGGTTTCATTTATTTTCTTTATGCAAGAAATATATAATATATTCCTTATATTATATAGCCTTTGACTGTCAAGGGAACAACAACTTTAAAACAAAATAAAATCAATAGCATTCAAACACGGAGAAAAACCAAAGAGACTGTGTTTGTTGGCCTAAAACCCTACATGCTTTATTTCAGTTCTAGGTTTTGCCGAGCGCAAAAGGTCGACAAGAAGAATACACACATTGCCTATACGCACAAGGACCCCCCACGCACACACACAAACCATATCTCTCTCACACACAGACACACATGCGCGCACACACAGACAAGTGGGGCCGTGCGCATACAGGCATTAAATTATCAGAAATGAGCCAATCACTGCGCAAATAGAAAATGTATATGATATAGTAAGAAAACAAAAGCAGTAAAATATCATAGTTTACAATAATTCTTCACATTCAAAGGCTATACATATTCAATACATACACAGCAAGGCCCTGGAACATGACTTCAATCCAAATATGCTTTCATATATTAGAATTTAAATAACACAGAGAAGCCAGGCCAGAACGGAGCGGCCCAATAACCTTATACAAGAATAAAAATACAAAACCTGGATCCTAGAGTCACCTCTTTACTCACCTCCCATTTGCAATTTTACATCAACTGTACATCACAGTCATCTGTTACCGATCAGGAAGACGCACGCGCACACACACTCAGTCTGTCGGTCTCACTCACTCCACGGACTTCCTGTTAAAAACGGCCAAATGAGAGGAGCCAAACACACGCACACGACCAGATTGTCCCTCCGTCGCAAGCCTCCAATCAGCAAAGCATACCGTCACAATGCAAGCGCTTTAAATGAAAACAGCTAAACTCAGTCGTGCTTTCAGCGTAGGACCAGGGGGGCGACAAATTACCCTCTCAAACCACATTACCCATGTGGCTTTTGTGGCGGTGTGGTGCCGTCTCCTGGTGCGATCTGAAGCTTTTTTCGCAACGTGAACATGCTGAGGAGAGATTCGACACCACATCCTCCAATCGGATTCAGCAAGACCAGCTACTGTAGCCAATAAGGGTAAAAGGACCCGCCTTAATTCTAAACGCAGACTAAAGCGACACACACTACAAAGCGTTTAGGCGTTTCAATGTAAGGAGATGAGTGTGTGTTCGCGCCGAGCGAGAAAAGAAGAGAGCGTGTGCACTTGTTCCGCAACGGGCGGGTGGAGATTGCACGATTTGAAAGGGTTTGTTACCTGCATTGCTTTAAACCGATGGAAAGACTGTCTAAACGTGTGATAAAGGTTTTCTATGGCTTGCCTGCCGACATGACATGCTGACTACGGCCTTGCTGCTTTTGGTTGTGAAGACTCCACCCTCGGCGTGTGAAACAACTGAATCTGAACAGAGAAAGTGCCTGGGAGCGACGGGACTGATATATGAGGAGACAAAGACAATATATAGCTGGAGAGGCGTCTCTACAGGGGCGTGTCCCCGTCCTGTGATTGGTTGGAGAGCTGTGGGGGGCGTGGCCAAAGGGGAGGAGCACTGTAGTCCTATAGGCTGGGGCTCTGGTGTTTGTGGTAGATCTTCCTCCAAACTTCCTGGATCTTCTTGCACCATTTATCAGCGTTGCCACTTGGGTCCATTAGATAGTACGTCCGGTTTGGCTACGGGAACAAAGCAGCGTCATTAAACATCCGATTTAAACCATGTAGATGTGGCATTATAAGATAATAGACTGCTGTTACCGTGTGAACAAAGAAGGTTTTAAAGTTCTTTGCTTCTGGCCGTAGTTCAGGTGACCATGGAATCTCCCCTTTCAGAACTTTATTGACCGGATCCACGTAGTACAAGTGAGGACCCTCAGTCAGTAGCAACTGCCTCCTCCGTGCAAACAGACCCTACACATGCACACAAAAGGGAAAGACACAATGAAACACAAAAAAACAACTCTTTTAATAAAGTAAGATTATGAAACATAGTTCCTGTTCTGGAACTTCCAACAGTCTTTGATTCACTAAAAATAACTAAATCATGCGAGTCAGTCGTTCAATAATTGCTCTGACTACACTGGTTGTTCTGCATGGTTTTGATTCACTAAAATGAACAAAATCAGAATCGGATTTAATTTGATTTACTAAAAAGAACTGAATAATACGCGTCATTCATTCAGGAATTGGATGGAATACTCTGGTGGTACTCTGGCTTTAATTCACAAAAGGAACCAAATTATGACTGTAGGAACTGAATGGAATATACTGGTCATGCTTTATAGTTTTGATTGGCTAAAAATAATCAAATCATAAGAATCATTTGTTAGGGAACTGGATGGACTGCACTGTTCACACAGTTTTGATTCACTAATTAGAACTGAATCATAAGAATCATTCGATCAGCAATTGACTATACTGATGATCGTTGTTGTATGGTTTTAATTCACTAAAAACAATAGGTGTGTTCGACTTGAATCTGCTCTGCGCACACCGATCTATGCATGACATCAAATTTCTGTTAGAGTGATTCGAAAGCATACGGAGCCGTCTGCTCTCTAACGTCACTTTGATGTCGTTCAAACACACCTAAACATTTCAAGAGTCATTTGTTCAGGAATTGGATGGAAAACAATTCTATCTGACTGAATACTCTTACAGATGAACAGATTACCAACAGTTACTCACTTTGCGCTTGTCCACAGGGCCCATTTTTAAGATGAGGTTATTCTCCACAAACTGGTGCCTGATAAAAAAAACAAGAGACAGAAGAGTTACAGAAAGCATGCACGGATAGAAAGTCACATAAAAAGACTGTATTTGTGTACCATGGGTTTGCAGCACTCTGCTTGTCCAGTAAGATGCGTTTCTCCTCGTCGCTGTATTGTAGGTCGAGCTCCATGCTATTACTGTCCAGCTCATGAATATGTATAAACTGATCCACACTAGGGGAGGGGTTATACGTAGGAGCACTTGTCTCTACTGTAAAGGGAACTAAAGGGGCAGGGCCAGGCTGTGCCACCTGCATACAACTGAACTGGCTCAGGAGATCATCATACTGGAAATAAAAGAGCAGAGGAGATTAAGAATGATCTCAATTTGACATTTTCTGAAGAAAATCAGACCCCTCCACAAGTCGTTTGTGTTGACTCACATTTCCATAGCAGTCCTCGTCATCCTCAGACATGGCGGGAAGATAAGCCGTTAGTTTGGGAGGAGTCCGCAAATGTACATCATGCCAGCCAACTGTTTCAAAAAAAGGGTGGGACCTCAGCGGTCCGTAGCCGCCCATCTCATCACAGCCAATCCGCTTACACGGATCCAGTGACTGTGAAAGTAAAACACCAATGAGCACACAGCAGATCCTCACCTACACTATGAATAGAAAAACAAACATGTATGATTAAATAAGGCTGACCAGAAGCTGTTCCACAAGGTCCTTAGCTTTGGGGAAAAATTTCTCAGGAAACTCGTACTCGAGTTTTATAATCTTCTGGAATATTAGATACTCATTCCTGTGATGGATTAAAAGAAAACAATGTTTAGTAATTGGAGGTTTAAGCTTCTTCACATAGACAGGGTTGGTGTTAGGGATAGATCATGAGGTTAAAAGGCGTTCTGCGCTGACAACATGCATGGGAAAAACCCAATGCTGCAAACTCTGGACTTTTTTACAGTAATATAATCTCACTATTTCTCGTGTCACGAGAACCACGTAAAAAA